CCTCAAACCCAGCTGAGTTCAGAAACCACCTCCGACTTCTGGAAACTCCAGTTCTGCCCAGGCACACCCTCCAGTATTTCACAACCTCTAGGCCGGTGTTTTTCAGACCGAGAGCTGAGATCTGTTAATGGATGGAGAAAATCAATTCAATGGGTCCTGGCCAGCATCTTTCAAGCACGATAAAAATTTCCTCCTCATACCAAGGGGAATCAGCCTCCCTGCATTCACCTGCCTCACTGCTGCCCTCTGGAATGCCGCATAAATCAGTCCACCACAGGCTGCAGCTACTTTTGAATTGCTACTGGTTCTACGAAGATATATGACACTTTGTTGAGTAAATACAATGTACAACATTATCCTATTTCTGTAAATAAACAGAATAAATAAATTTACTACGAGACAATATCGCAAGTATAGAAAAGCATTAAACAGTGTTAAAAACAGTTATCTCTTTTTTTTGAACAAAAATATGTATAAATATCCAGAGGTAGTTCTAGAAACCAATAAAGACAAACAAGTCCCAGAAACACAAACCCGAGGCTTTGTTAATCAGCTAGACAAACAAATATAGATTTAAACCAATGTTCTTGGAGCTTAATATTGCCATTAAAAATAGATATTGACAGGAAAATGTTACAGAAGTTTTAACATGACAGGCTGTTTCTTATAAACTCACTTTTTTCTTTATTCTTCTTTATTCTTTTTAGGCTGTCACTTGGATGTTCTTTACAAACATCGTTAGATTTGCATTTTTCTCACTGTCTGGATTAACATGACCTTCCAGATTTCTCTCAATAATAAAATATTTTATTGAGTTGTTCAAAATTTTTTATTTAGAAATATTTTTTGAGATAGTGCAATAAAGGTATTTTATTACAGTTTACTACTTAAGCCAAAAACAATCATGGGTTTTTTTTTAAATATGTGTCACACAGCACCAATCACAGAATTGAATTTTATAAAAGATAATGTAATACTGAAAATACAGTTATCTCTTAATGTGTAGAACACTTCATGGTACCTGCAGTTACCAGGTTTAAATAATGGATAAAAGACGACATAGGAGACAGACGTGAGCATCCTTTGATGCTCAAATCTTTTAGGCCATTAAGAACTTATTACTGAAAGCTATGATGTGGAGAACAGGGGAGTGGATGACATCTAAACAAGTTGTCACTCAAGTGATCACTAGGTCATTAGAAAGGCTGTGGGAGGAAAGAACACAGACAGAAGGCAGATAAACTTAGGCTCAAACCACAACTTTGCTCTGACAAGTTACTTTGTTGTTTCAAGCCTCAATTTTCTCATCTGTGAAATGGGGATGGTGAGACGAATCTTCCAAAGTCTTTCCAAACTCTGTCCAGTCTGCAGTGAAGAACTTCTGGTAAATTCAGGATACAGTGAGAGGCATGCTATAGAACCACCAACAAAACCGTCTTCCATCACTGAGACCAGGGGAAGTCAAGGAGGGAAGGCCAAAAGAAATACTCATGTGCGCCTGTTACTGAGTAAACTTTCTAAATGGCAATTTCTTAAGAAAGCAAGGAAATGCCCACCCTCTGAGCGGGCGGGAAGGTAGGAGAGCCAGAGACAGGCAAGCAGCGTGGGGACCAGCGCGTGGTTGGCCCCGCAGGCCTTGATTACGCCCTCTCGGCCTTGGCCTTGGCCTGCAAAAGCCCTGCCAAGTGCTCTGAGAAATGCCTTACAGGGGCTTCCTGAGAACAGTTATTATCCAGTCCCCCCCAAACCCGAAGGGATTCCACAAACATTTGAGTTTCTACCACTGATGAAGCACTGTCCTCGCACACAGAGGAGAGGAGGAAAACGAAACAGAGCTTAGTGTCAAAGTTCAGACAGAGTACACACACACATACACATGCACGCACACGCCAAGACACAACGAGGAATTTGAGACACAAGCTTCAGGAGGGAGACTAAGAGCTACAGGAACATGCGCTTCCTGCTGAGAATCCAGGGAAGCTTCCTGGGAAAGACGGCAACTCTGATGCACCCTAAAGCCAGGGGAGGTTGTCCACATCCTTTGCTGGAGCCACGTTCCAGAGAGGGCACAGCACGAGCAGAGCACCGCGCAGTGACTCAAAGGCAAAGGGTGTGTCTCCGCAGGAGCGGATGCCTGGGCAAGGATAGGACACCTACTGAGAGTGAGGCTACTATCAACAACAGGCAGGATCATTAACCTATCAGTAGTCAGGGGTCTGATAAAGAGCCGTGAAAGAAAATGTGGAGGACTAAACGTCAGGGTGACCTTCTGGACTAGTGGGGATGCACTGAACATTCTCAGCAGGGAAATCACATGCTCAGAGCTGCGCTTCTGTGAGATTCATTTGACCACTACACACAAGTCAAACTTGCAGGGAGAGAGACTTCAGGCCAGAGGGCAGGAGATTATTCCAACAGCCCAGACCCTGACGGCCGGGGTTACAAAAGCAGCTGCACTCGCACAAGGGAACTACTAAGTGCAAACAAAAATAAATACGGATGCAGTCTTACTAGCAATTTCCAGGGTAGTTTAACCCTAGTCTTATCGCAAGCACAAAGATCTGTATGGAAAGTCAGGAGAGGTCAGCTCTAGCTATTGACTTTTTTTTTTTTAAAGGATGTACTGGGAATTGAACCCAGGACTGCATGCGTGCTGAGCATGTGCTCCACCACTGAGCTATACCCTCCCCTTTACTGACTTCGTATTTTGGTGCTCAATTGGATGCTACTCCACATTTCACCAAAGAACAGCATCCTGTCCTGAAAAAAGACAGCCTTGAAAGGCAGAACAATGGTCCCAAAAACATAAAGAAAGAAAATCCAGAAAATCCCATTTGCCATGCAAGCTTCAAAAACAATTCAGAGCAGTATGTACTTCCAACTCACGACTGAGGGTTCTGATCACACTTAATGACAAAATCATAAACTCCAGAGAACGCTTTTCCCGTGAAA